AGATCGAGGAGGAATTTCCTTATTTTCTGTTTTTCTATTCCTTTGAGGAACTCCCTATGGCTTTTTGTATTTAAAAAACCAACAGAAAAAAATGAAGACTTCTGAGTTGAGCTCCTAAATCCAGAAGTCTACTCATCATTTTTACTTGTATGCTGCCAGGGGCCATTAAAGGACAGAAGACAGAAGACGCAGATCTAGCTGGAAGACCTTGATGGGAACATGCAATGTTTCTCTCCTCCTGGGTCACACAGACGCTCCAGCCAGGTACAATTCCAGATGCGGGAGGAAATGAGCCCCTGGGCTTGGCCCATCCCTCTATAAATGCAATGGATCATAATATTTGTACAGCGGTGTTTATGGCAATAACAGTATGATGCAGCTCTCCTGAGGAAAGACAGGAGAGGGACTCTGAGGGTGATCTGGGTTCATCAAGAGCCCCAAGTTCTGTGGACCCACAAGGACCATGAATACACACACTGAGGTGTGCTGTAGGCATGAATCACGTCACACTCTCCACACTCCTGTAAGGGCCAGACAGAAAATGAGGACCGTGAGAATTTGTTCCTTGATATAAAAAGGATTTATTGCCTCATATTAGCAAAAATTGGGGACTCAATCCATTGTTGTTCTAAAAACATAAATACTGATGGCCATGTGCCCCCTTCTCCTGTTTCCGAGAATTATTTTGTCTAAGAAACAACTGAAGCATAATCAGTCCCACTCTACCAAGATAGGATCCTGCTTTGTTTTTCTGCCTTAGATCCATTGAAAATAGGGCAAAAAGTATTTTGACACATTCTTTTTGCTAAGAATTTTATGTATGAAAAAGAAACCCGTTGTTCTAGATAGTGGAAGAATTTCATAGGTGCATAAATTAATAGAAAGTGTATTATTATCTTAAGGAGCTAACAGCGCGAACTATTTTGTTTCGTTTGTTTTTATTTTTTGATTTGGAAGGATGATGTCAGCGTACACGGATTTATATTTTAGTTTCAAAAGCCAAACAGAGGGAAATTGAGCAAGCATCATGAACCACTGATTTATTAGCTTGTGTATATATGACCCCATTTCTAATGCTCTGGTAGAGGCAAAAATGACACCAAAAGACTGAAAATTTTAAAAATAATAATCAAACAAATAAATAAATAGCAATTGAGTCCCTGCAATCAGCCAGGCAATATCAGAGAAAAATCAGACTATTTTGAGTCAATCGAATAAGGAATTTGTCAAAATGATTATCTGGGTACTTTTGAGTAGACATAGTTACAGAATCAGGGAGTAAAGAGAATATTCCATACAGGTGAATGTGCAGAACTTGCAGATTTGTAGACTATGTATTCTATTCATATGCAGACCACCCCCATCCTTCCCTCTTTCCTGTATAATGAAAGAGCAGATCCACAGCGGGCCCCAGAAGCACGCAGAAAACGTGCACGAAGGGGGCAGTGCTTGGAGAGCAGAGGGGCTTAACAAATCCCAGTGTTCCCAATATCTCTGCCCTTTGGGACATCAAGAATTGAAATCATCAATCTAAATTTGCTTAGCTCCTTCTGCCTGCTAACAAAACTCTTTTACTTCCTGCTCGCTCACAGGCCCATCTATCACCCTCTTCCCAGCTTCCTTCATTCAGGCCTTCCCAACATGCTAGAATAATTAGCTTCTTTACTTAGTTTACTTGACAAACTGGTCACCTGATTGGGAGGGTGGTGAGCAAAATGATTAAATTAGTTATTTGAATAAATCATCCAGTATTCTGCTAAACTGTAGAAATAGCCCTGGAGAGTTACAGCTTCAGAAAAACTAGAATCTAATGTTGAGGGCTGATTTTTTAATCATTCTTTATTATTTTAGTTACTACAATTATTTGGCCTAGAAAAAAGTCCAATGTATAGTAACACAAGGATGCATGGTAATAAGGAAGTGATGGGGAAGAGAGAAGACCCAAGACCCCAGGGAGAAAAAGCGGCTCTACTGTGCAGCTCAGATGCAGAGGAGCACATAAGGCAGGAAAGTCAATTTTTTAAAAAAAGCTTTTAGTCCATATAATTTTGTATAACATTCCCTATATTCCTGGCGAGCATAACATTTTGAGAGGTGGTATATGGAATGCATATGAGGCAACACGTGATTCAAAGATGTTATTGTGATGTCACAGGGAAGCTACAGAAGGATCAATGAGACTACACCTGGGCACAAGAAGTCATCGTGTCACTGGAATCCATCACCTCTACAAACTTAACCTTCTATTCAAATTTTCTCTATATCTAAAAATTGATGTTATTCTTTTAGCACTTGATGTTAACTTTATTGGTCAGTGATTGTCTATTTATAAATAATGATAACACCACGACTGTAATATATTATATTTCACAAAACACTTTCACATCCATCATTTAATTCTTCCCCCAGAAAGTCAGTCATTTATTCATTCAACAAATATGGACTGAGTGATAACCATGTACAAACCAGTGTTTGAGGTGCTTGGTATATGTCAAACATATTGTTATCGATAGACAAAGATCCCTCCCAACAGAGTGTTTACATTATTCCAAGAAAAGGCAAAAGCAAACCAACAAAATAAATAATAAATAACAATGTAACACATTATATTTCTTATTAACTAATACATTATAGTTGATAAATACTATATTGGAAAAAAAGAGCCACCACTGGCCTTGTGAAGGGGACTGGGAGGGTGGGTTCTGAGTGGAATCTGGGATAGGTAGGGCTGTACAGTCCTCACTGAGAAGCTGGATTTGAACAGGCTTAAAGGTGGAAAGAGAATGAGGAAAGGTGACATCTAGGGAAGAATTGCAGGCAGAGGGCAGAGCTGAAAGGACAGATGGAGTGAAGGACCCAGCTGGGAGCCCAGTGTAGAGGGAGAAAGATGAAAAGGCAAGTAAAAAAAGGGAGATGGAAGCAGAGAAGGAATTGGTGTTCACACCCTCTGGAGTCTGAGGGTTAATTGTAAAGATTTTGGCTTCAACCTTAGGTCGAATGAGAGGTCATTGCAATGGTATTACCATCTTGGGCACTAAAAGGATCGGTCCAGCTGCTGCATTGAGAATGAACATGGGAGGGGCTGGAGTACAGTGAAGATTATTATACTCCATAATTCTCCTCCAAATGCAAAGTCTAGAAAGAAAAATGTTTAAAAATCTAGAAAGAAAGCTCCACCGGTAATATTATTCAAAAGTAAGTGAAAGATTTCAGTCAAAGAAATCTCCCTGGAAGAGAAAAACACCTTAAAATTAAGGTAGAGTTAAAGAGGAGGATCAAAAGTTTGGCAGATTATTAGCAGCATAATGTTAACTAAATTTGCAATTAATTAATAGTTGGTTAGCATTTAAAAGTTTTAGCATTTGGTTAGCAATTATTTATTACACACAGATACGGAGAAAGACAGCAGTGAAGTTAGCTTTCAATGACAAGAATTTTGTTGGGAAGGTACAGAATATACTTTAAAAATAAGCCAAATATTATTATGTTTCATCATCATCATATTTAAGTAGCAAAGTTGAATTTAAACCAATAATATCAATCATGACCTTAAACATTTACCATCACATTTACAACATTTGTGAGGTCAATATCATTGTTCCGTGTACAGGAACCATATTAAGTAGCTGAGACTGACACAGAGAGAGTTGTTTGTTTGAAGTCTTACAACCAGTAAGTGGCTAGGTCAAAGAACTAGTTGAACCAGAATTCTGAGAAATTTCTACTCTAAAAATTATATCCAAAGATAAAGGAAAAGTTGCAATCCCAGAGGGGTATGGTGTAGAAATCAATGATATTACATTCAGGGGAATGAACCTCATAATCCTCAAAAATCGGTCCCAGAATAAAAAGGGTTTAAAAAGTAATTGAATATAGTCATAGGAATTGGGAATATATACAGGAATGATTCTGAATACAGTCTCACATCACTTAGCGATGAGGATATGTTCTAAGAAATGCGTTGTTAGGCAATTTCATTATTGTGTAAATATCATAGAGTGCACCTACACAAATCTACATGGTATAGCCTACTACACATCCAGGCTATATAGAACTAATCTTATGGGATAACCATTGTATATGCAGTCCGCCATTGACCGAAACATCATTATGTGATGCATGACTGTATATTAATCTAGAAGAAAATAGAAGGTTACAATAAAAGGTATAAAGCAAAAAAAAAAAAAGTAAGGATCAATAAAGAGAGAAAGGGAGAAACAAACAGAAACAAAGCAAAAGACACAGAGGCAGAGAGAGAGAGAGAATGAGAGAGAAGGAAAATGAGGAGGAGAAACAGAATTATGGATCTGATGCTGGAATGATATCGGACTCTTCTGAACCAATTTAAGAATTGCCATTTCGAATTCTTAATATATGGAAGACTTGCCATGAAAGGATATTAAAAGGAGTGAGAAATTATAATGAATGTATAAAAGTCTTTGTTTAATATAAAGTCTATTCATTTGAAGAAAGACTCATCAAGAAAGCGTATGGAGAGGTTATCTGGTGAAGTGTGTGCCCTGCAGGGGAAAGTGCCAGTGCAAAGGCCCTGAGGAAGGTGCTTGTTTCAGCTATGCAAGGCTCAAAATGTAGCCAGTGTGGTGAAAGGAAGGAGATAGAGGGAGTATAATGAGAGACAGTGTCAGAGACTATTAATAAAAGAGGTGGCCCCCCTGCTACAGCTGAAACTTTAAGACACAGGGAATCCCTCATTCACATGTTGTTCCTTGCACTTTACTAATTTTCATTTCAAGGAGCCCTGTGAATAGAAATGAATCTCCTCCTTATTTCCATGTGTTGGTTAACATTCTGGCATCTGTCTTATAAAGGTCACATTTTAGGATATATGAGCTCAGGTACCTCTGCTCTGAGAACTGCTCATTCTCCAAAACAAACACACACACACACGGTACACTTTGGCCTCCTGAGGCCATGTTACTACTAGATTCTTCTCACTCTCAGCCACAATAATTAGGAAAGAAATGATGCAAATCAAGCCATCAACATCAAATTATCTTTACTCTACAGAATAAAGAAATGGTATCCAAATTCCAGCTGGTAAGCTGCCCGTGTACATGTGAAACTTGGTGCTCCATTTTAATACGATCAGTTTCTGTCCTGTGTTCAAAGAAGTCTAATAAAAGACTCAGTTCAAAAAATAGAGATGGGGGAAAGAAATGGACATGGGAGATTTAATGATCTCAGGTGGTCCCTGAGAGACTGTGATGGAGAGAAAGCGTCCTTGGTTTTGGTGGCATTCCAACCTCAGTTCTATCCCCTTGATGCCCAGAATAACTAATAAAGCAGCAAAAAACAATAATAATAAAAAAAAGAATGTATGGAGCCATTTGGAAAAAGAGTGATGAGAGTGCCCCATTTCTAAAATTATTATGTTCTACAACGCTCCTCCAAATGCAAATATTTCATATTTTCTGTTTTGTCCCTATGGGAAAATTTCCACAGCAATAAAGATTACAGTCATGATCTAAATGGGGGTATTTGTTGAAGCTTAGCATATTTGTATCCCCCACTCCACTCCAGGAAACTTTGCTAGGCTTAAAATTGTCAAGAACAGAATTTTAGGAATGATCGTCTCTAACACTAGAGGCAGAGTCAAGAAGACACCTGGATGCCCAGTCTCCTGACTCCGCTTCTGTTATAGGTGGCAAGATAAGAGGCGTCGTGTCACAGATGAAAAAATAAGGTCTGAGGAGACCAGAGAACAGTTGGCTGAATGAGTAGATGTAAGACCCATTTGTGACATTGTAAAAGGAGATTTCGCCTGCTTCGTAGTCCAAGAAAATCCCAATTCGGCGAGGCCGTTCCAGGTGGAGGAGAGGCACTGACGGTGAGGCAAGGACCATATATTCATTCCCTTTCAGCAGCCACATGGCCCAGACCCCGTTCTCCGGAGACGGTGTGGCCTCCCCTTTTCTTGGCATGGTGTCTTGACAGACACCTAAACCCCACTCTGCTCTTTCTCCCACGACAACTTCCCAGTAATGCCTCCCTGATGAGAAGTTCTGCAAACCTAGGATACAAGGCCATGTGTCAAATCGCTCGGGGTTGTTGGGGACAACCTTCCACAGTTCTCCTTCCTGCACACTGCGCAGGTCAGCAGTCAAGAGGAGACTAGGGTGGGCCGTGGCAGGGTCCAGCTTTACATCGACTGCGGAAAGAATTTTGTGGGACATGTGAAAGGACAGAAAAGACTGGTAAAAACTTAGAAAGCCATGATATTGAGAATAGTCACACTCTTCCTCACTTTCCTCTCTCTAATAATTCCTGGAGAAAACAAAATAAGTATTTCACCTTGCAGGTCACTAAGGATATTCTTCATTACCTTCGGGTGTATTCCACTGCTGCCTCTTCTTAATTCAGGGCTCCTTATTGCTCCAGTAAAAACATAACGTTGATAATATGACAAACCAAGTGCATGATCATTTAGAACCCTTTCATCTACATCCAGAGCACTTGGGTACTCTTGGGAAGATCTTCCGCATTTAAAAATAAAATTTGCAGGGGCTGGCCCAGGGCAAGTGGTTAAAGACACCTCATATCTAATCCAACAGCAAGTTTTGCCAGCTCTACCTTCAAAATACACCAAGATTCTGTCCATTTCTCAGCACCTCCAGCACTACTACCATCATCTGATTGAATTATTGCAAAGGCTCCTAACTTCACACTTCAAACCTTGCCCATCTGTACATTGTTTTCAATAAAGCATGCAGAGTGATCCCCACAGAACATTAATCCACTCGTGCTATTCCTCTGTATACAACTTTTCATTACTTTCCTATTTGACTCAGAGGTAAAGCATCCTGTTCGCAGTGGCCTGCCTGGAGGGTCCTGCACTGTTGACTCTCCTCTCACTCTGCTGCAGCTGCACAGCCTCCTCATAGCTCCCAGAACACATCTTCCACACTTCCATCTCAGGCCTTGACACTCCTTCTTCCTGCTACTGGAATGCTCTCCTCCAGACAAGCTGTTTGCTAAGTTATCCTTTACTGGATGAGGTCTTCCTTGATCACCAAATTCAAAATTAGATGCTTTATCCCCAGAATTTCTGGTCACCCTTACCATATTTTGTTTTTTCAATATTCTGTATCATCTGACATTCTGTGTATTTTGAATAATTTAAATAACCATTTGTAACATGAAGCTGCAGATTTGTAGGATTTTTGTCGCCGTTGTTCAAAGATATATTCGAATGACTAGAAAAGTGGCTGGCATAAAATAGACAATTTTGTTGAATTGATTAATTACTCAATTCAGTAAAAAGAAACAGGAAAATGAGGACACAGATTCTGAGAGTGTAATGACCTGCAACGATTCATGCAGTTAGTGTACATTCATCTGCCCATCAGAATGTGGATTAAATCACTGAATAGGACTGCTAATGTGGGTTTTCTCACTATGGGACGAGGTTGGTTCCCTGTAAGTAGTGAAACCACTATTTAGCCACTATTAGCCACTGTTTTCATTACTTGGTATAACTGGATTAAAAAAAGAAATTTTAATAATATTGAATATATACTGTTTTAAAGAATAACATAATCAAACCAAACAAATTAATTTATGACATTACAGTAATTCCTATATAAAAATAATTGATTGAATATTTTTGGCTTTATTGACTCTCTAATTTAAGCAACTTATCAAATTAGATAATAAAATAAATCGAACTTCTTATTTGATACCCCACAATGTTTTCTTATTGATGATTTTTTACCCTTTTTTAAATATGTTTCATTTAGTCCTCCAAACAATAATTTTTTTCACATTTTATAAACAAGAAAATGGAGATTTATTGGAACTAATCTTACTCATATCACAGCTAATAAGAGATGAACTACACTTTCAAGCCCATTGTTCTAACCAAATGCAGCTTATGTGGATGTCAGTGACTCAGATATTCTTTAGGACTGATCACAAATATCCCAGTCCTCTTTCTTTTGGGCACAGAGCTCTCTCTTATGTCCCTTTATAGTTATTTTTTTGGTTTTTTTGAGGAAGATCAGCCCTGAGCTAACATCCATTGCCAATCCTCTACTTTTTTCCTGAGGAAGATTGGCCCTGAGCTAACATCTGTGCCCATCTTCCGCTACTTTACATGTGGGGTGCCTGCCACAGCATGGCTTGATAAGCAGAGTATAGGTCTGCGCCTGGGATCCGAACCGGTGAACCATGGGCCGCCAAAGCAGAGTGCACAAACTCAACCACTACACCATCAGGCCGGCCCCTACCCTTATAGTTTTTTATGGCCGTGCAACTCACTTCTATCAATAAAATCTTGAGGGAAGCCACATGGGCCACTTCAGTGTGGATGCCTTTAGGAGCAGTGCGTGATTCACCGTAACCTTCCCTTTCCTATGGCTACCAGCAACAGGAAGGATGTGGATCTCTATCTGCACAGGTCCCACAGTGAGACACAATCCAATAATGAACCAATAACATGATCTCAGAATAAACCTTTGCTGATTTTAGCCCCTAAACTTTGGGTTCTGTTTGTTGATCTAGCCTGTAAGGTAACAAACTGCAATAACAGCCAATTTCCAGGCACTATAGTTCCCCAAGCTCTACGATGCAACCTACCTTGGAACTTCCTCAACATTTCCCTCATGCCAGGGATACGACACATTGTCTTCAGCTCCATGGGGATGGTCTCTGGTTCCAGCCTTGTAACACTCTCACTTCTGAGAAGAGCACAGAATCAATAGTTCTCAGTGAGGTAATCCACCAACCTCCTTGGACTATCCCAACCCCCTCTGTGATTCTGAAAGCGAACGTACCGGTTCAAGGCTCCTCTCACACCCTGAAAGCGAAAGAAAAACACAAGCAGGTGTGAGTTAAGTTCTCTAAACTGCTTTTGACACATTGGGGACAAACCACGACCATCTGTTGAGGAATTAGTAGAAATTGTTAACTATTAAGATAAAACTATAGGAGACGTGAATCTCTCTTAAGAAAAGCCAAAAATAGGCTGTCGTTGAATTTTCCTGTGAATTTAAAATGCTAGAATCAGTTTTCCTCTATTAGAATCGAATCAGATTACACAAGGTTTAGGTTAGTTCCTAGGATATCTACCAATTTAACTATTTTCTGAATTGATAATTCTGACATTTGGATATATTAACAAAGAGTTACCTTCTGCACCAAATAGATGCACCAGGTAGATGGAATTAGGGTAAAAACAGATCCTAAACATCTGCATAATTTGAGAAACAGTGAAAGGTATAGACACAAAACATTACTCTCAATGTCTCTGTAAGAAAACCCCAAATTCCTCATTCTCTGAACCAACACACCATAGCTGTGGACTCATATGTGAGTGTTACTTAAGTGGATAAAATTAGAAGTCATCAATATCTGGCAGCAGTTTATCTCAAAGTAGATTATTAAATAAATCACCTGCATTATATTTCCCCTCTCCCTCTAAAAATAACCACTTGTCAGATTAATTTTTAAAAACAAGGAAATGATTAGTTTTACTTTTTATGGGAATGGCAGGCCTTGGTCTTGGCCACTGGGGGTAAAGTGTAGCTCATGATACTGGGGAAGAAAGGAAAAGGTAGGTATAAAAATGGAAGTAAATTATTTAAGAATATATTCTCCCTAAGATTTGCATTATAAATCATTTTAACATTTATTTGGTGCTAATAAATGCTCGTTTTAAATGTTGTGTTTTGAGATACAGTAAGATAAGATAATGAATGTTATTATTGAAAATGCTGAAGTTCCTCTGTGTATTTACTGTCTGGAATTTGGAAAATTAATTCCTTTCTGACTCTTAGTTTGCTCACAAGGAAACTGGCATAACAATAACAATAATAATGATAATAATAATTTTTTACTTATATATAGCTATATTGAAGATAAAATTGGACAAATGAAATACAAATGCTTTGTAAATTCCTTCATTTAATGACCCTCACTATGTGCCCAGTGCTGATTAGTCACTGTACTTGTATGAGGATATGAATTGTTTTTTTTAAAGATAATCTAATTTTTTATTTATTTATTTATTTTTTAAAGATTTTATTTTTTTCCTTTTTCTCCCCAAAGCCCCCCGGTACATAGTTGTATATTCTTTGTTGTGGGTCCTTCTAGTTGTGGCATGTGGGACACTGCCTCAGCGTGGTTTGATGAGCAGTGCCATGTTCGCGCCCAGGATTCGAACCAACGAAACACTGGGCCACCTGCAGCGGAGAGCGCGAACTTAACCACTCTGGCCATGGGGCCAGCCCTGAATTTTTTTTTTTTTTTTGAGGAAGGTTAGCCCTGAGCTAACATCTGCTGCCAATCCTCCTCTTTTTGCTGAGGAAGACAGGCTTTGAGCTAACATCCATGACCATCTTCCTCTACTTTATATGTGGGACGCCTACCACAGCATGGCTTTTGCCAAGAGGTGCCATGTCCACACCTGGGATCCGAACTAGCGAACCCCTGGCCACCAAGAAGTGGAATGTGCGAATTTAACCGCTGCGCCAGTAGGCCAACCCTGAGGATATGAATTATTTAGTTCAGAAACCCCTGAATAGGTGATTGAGGATGAGATAGAATGAAGTGTGCCCAGAAAATTTTTATTGTAGTGGGTTCTATCATGATAACATACATCCATCAATGACAACTCTTCCAATTCACTTGGGATCTTAATGCCTTAATGGAGAATTAAAAACAAATATTTCCTTTTCCCTGTTATTTGTCTGCTCTAGAATCTCAAACAGATTGTGAGCAAGCTGCATGGAGCCCATGTAATTCCTTCCCATTGTGCCTGGAATAGGCATGCAATAGGGGCAAGGAAATTAGCATGTACCTTAAAATTTAACATTAAAATTTCAAGCTAGACAATTTAAAACATTATTCATATGCTTGGCTATTGACTGAAACAGGTTACCAAAGACTTTTTGGATTGGCCGTCACTGAATATAGCACTCGAGTTATTTACAGATTGACTGTGAGGTTTTAAGAAGTGTTTTTCAGCCAACATAGTGCATGTTGTCCTTTTCCTCTTTAGTCTTACGTAAATCATCAAATTAATTTTAATTTTTAAAAATATTTAGGTTTTTGTCTTCAATACGAACTATTTTATATGATTCTCCAGGGTTCCTTCTGATTCTGATGGTAGGATTTAGAATTAAGATGCCTTCCAAGAAAGTTCTAGGATGCCCTTTTCCTAAAGAGCATAAATGCCTAAACGGTTTTTCTCTGAAAGGTGCTGTCTGCCCCATTGGTCTCACATCCACCCTCGCTTCCCCCAGGCACCCAGCCTCACCTCCAGCAGACCCAGGGCTGGGCGCTGGCACCTCTCCTCCAGCTCCTCAGCCAGCTCCTTCAGGGCCCTGCTCTGCTGGACTAGCCGGCTCTTGCTCTCCCGCAGCTTCTGCAGAGTGGCTCGCTCCTCCTCCTCCAGCCGCCTCAGTTGCAGTAGCTCCTCCTGGGCCAGGAAGCCTCGATACTTCTCAAACTCCAACCTGAAGCGCTGCCTCCGCATTTCCACTTTCTCCTGGAGTGACACAGTGGATCAAATCATCAGTGACGGGGGCACAGCGTCTGGCTTCCACCTTTGTGTATGGAAGGGTGAAGCTGGGGAAGGCAATGTCCCGAGTGATCTCAGCTCCATAACTCTGCAAACTGACTGGGTGCCTTTTAACAACATGCAGAAACCAGAGGCCACTCATATGAGAAGCAGCCTGGTAGAGTTCTCAAACTCAGAACTTGAGAAAGACTGTTGGGTTTGGGTTCCCATTTTGCCATGGACTTGGGGGCAAGGCACTTTTATATTCAAGTTTCAGTACCATACATAAAATGTGAGAAAGAAGAGCATGGGAATTAGAATTAAATGTCTATTAAACTCTTGAGCAAAGTGAGCAGCATAGAGTACTTGTACAATAGCAATTAAAATTTACTATTAGAATAGTCATTGAAATGAGCATTGTGTAGGTACAATTGAATTACGAAAAAAGATTAGAGAGACGTGGATTTAGAAATGTGAATAAGAAAAGGCTTCGAGATTAGAAAATGTGAACATTCCTTAGTAATACAGTAATCTTAAAACCATAAGGCTAATCTTTTCTGCAGAGCCAAGAAAGAACTAAGTGATCCTCAGGCCACTTACTGCAGAGTTAACTTCAGGGAATTAATTCTGATTTCTACCCAAATCTCACATCTACAATTTTTGGATAGGCCTAAGGAAGATATTTTGCTACAGCGTTATTATATATAAATTTTATCCTCTTGAGACTGGTATCCAGAAAACTAGCTTTCAACTGAGTATAAGAGGCAAATTATTCTCTCACAGTCTCTCTACATTTTGGATTCCCTGGTCCATTATTAAACATTATAACATCTTGGTTTGATTAAACAGCATAAGCTACCACCTTAAAAAAATTTTAAGGGGCTGGTCTGGTGGTGTAGTGGTTAAGTTTGCACACTCTGCTTCAGCAGCCCAGGGTTCACAGGTTCAGATCCCAGGCATAGACCTACACGCTGCTCATCAAGCTATGCTGTGGTGGTGTCCACATACAAAATACAGGAAGACTGATGCATATTTTAGCTCAGGGCCAGTCTTCCTCACCAAAAAAAAAAAAAAAAAAAAATTAATGATGGTTTATGAATCCCAAGAGATTCATCTCCTTCCTCCAATTACCTGCCTCTACCTCTTTCTACCACTTTCTAAACCACTAGATTCATAGAATTCTGACTTCGTTAAAAACAAACAGCTCTGAATTCCATATTCAGATCTGAAAGGTACAACTCATGTAGTTTCTCCCCCATGTTGGAGGCTGGGCTATTGAGGAGTGAGGCCAATAACTCAGTCATTGAAAAAGAGTGCAGTTATCTTTGGGGCATGACGGATAGTGTGGTAAGAAGGGGTTTGGGTGCACTTCTTCTTTCTCTTACATCATCCTTTTGAGTACTACAATTATATCTGCAGATAGAGAAAGGAGAAGGGATTTTGTAGAATTTAGAGTTCATTTTATTAAACCCATGCCTATCGCATATGGCTCACACGAATACATTCTCAATGGTAAAGATCACGCAAGTTTATTTGGCTTAGCACAGGAATTTAGCATCATCTCTACTTTAGAGTAATCAGTGGAAGTTTTAAAAAAATGCGAGAACCAAGACCTTGGACATGGAGTTTCTGATTTTGTAAATCAAGTAAGAATTAAAAACAATTGACTTGGATTATTAGCCTAAAAAGAACAAAAATTATCAATAAATGTTTAGCTTTACATATAAATATATAGCTGTGGCAAAAGATAAGACTTATGTCAGAAGACAAATGTAGCAAAAATGGTCCCTATGGAAATAACTGTCTGAGGATAGAGTGTAAGACAAAATTTTCAAGGAAAAAATTAGGAAAGAATTAGGAAAATGTAAAAAATTATCAGAGAAGAAGGGTTGTTTGGAGCAGAATAAAGAATAGAAATATTTTATAAAATAAATTCTCTCTCTTATATAAGTATAGTATGTTTTACATATAATTTCTATATATAGTTTCTCAGTCTAGACCCTACTGATATTGGCCAGGTTATTCTTTGTTGTGAGTTTTGGGGGGCTGTCCTGTGCACTGTAGGGTATTAGCAGCATTCCTTGCCTCGCTGTACCCATTAGATGCCAGTAGCACGCCCACCCACCTCCAGTTGTGACAACTAAAAATATCGACAGATATTGCAAAATGTCCCTTCGAAGGCAAAACCTCCCAGACTGAGAACCATACTGTGTGTGTGTGTGTGTGTGTGTGTGTGTGTCTGTGTAAATGGGTAAGAGAAAAAAGGGGCTGATGAAGTATAGAAGAGAGATTATATACATGGATGGCTGAAAATGCCGATTATCCTCCTCTATGTAAGATGACCACTATTAGCTGTATTTCATCAACATCAATGCTATGAAATATTTCTTATTTCATTCACCCAACATACATATTTTTGAAACTCATATTGGCAGTAGGAGACTTTGCTCGAGGTACCAGGAATGCAACAGTGAGTTTCAGTGAGATCAAGATTAGCAAAGCTATTAATAATTTGGGTCGGGGTAGTGCTGGTAGTGTTAGAGATAAAAAGAACACAGATCCACAATTTAATTTGAGGGGATGGGCTATCCAGGATGACACTGAGAAGTTTTCCTTGAGCGCCTACGTAGATAGAACAAAAGTTTGGAGCAGGCAAGATGGCTGAAGAATGATTTAATGACTCAAATTTTTATTCTTCAGACAGGCAAGCCTCCTGAAGCCCCAATATGCTCTTACCTTCCAAATTACAGTTTTCTTCCCCACATTGGCCTCCTGAGTCAAGGCCTCCTCCATCTCTTCCTTCACATGTTCCAGGGCCATCTGGAGCTTTACCTGTTTGGGAAGATATGCTGAAACACTATGGATGCCTCATCCAGTACCGAACCAACCAGGTGTGTCAGGAAATATAAGGATCAACTAAAACAGGCCCCAGCAAGCACATAAAAACATTCAACTTTATTCATAACTAAATTAAGCATAAATATATTTTTAAATGTCAATAGTAGATACAATCAAAGATTTATTTAAAATTATGTTCATTGCAGAATTAAAATAGTAAAACTATAAACTAACCAAAATGGTAAAAATAGGTAAGAAAAATTTATTTTATATTAACAGGATGGAATTAAAATAAAGTATTGCAGAATACTTAACAAGAAATGCTCACAATTATAAAGTCAATTAAAATAAGTACATTTTATGTAATGTGACCCAAATTTTGAAAAAAAAGTGCTTGTAATGAATATAAAAAAACTAGGCACAGATCAACGAAAATGTTCAGTAGATGAAACCTCATCTACCAATGCTTGGTTGAAAAGTGATGTTATCCCTTGTATCTATGTATTTCAACTTTCTAAAATTATTTATTACTTTATAATCGGAAAAGTGTTTATTATTACTTGGCCAGAAGAAACCTTGTTAGTATTTATTAAATGAAAAAGAAATATAGAACATTGTAAATCTCACAAGGAGTAAAAAAAATAATTTAATGGAAATTAAATCTCCTTTCAACCCTATGACCCCTGCTAGAGGTAAACACATATATTTTATTTACAAAGAACACATGCAAAGATAGACACATACACACATTTTTAAACTTAGTCAAAGTCATTCAATAAGTCTCAGAAAGAGTAGAAAAAAAACCCAAAAACTGTTATCAAAATCATTCAATAAGTCCTACATACCAATTATTTTTAAAAAGAGATATTGTAATGTAATGCATATAAAAAGCAGTATAATTCATGGGAGCATTTAACACGACAAGGGAAGTGGTATTTGCTTTAGCATTTGCAAGGAATAAAACACGTTGACATTTATAGATGGAGAAAAACTCCCTCAGAGAAAAGAAACTGTGAGCAAAGGGAGGAGGTGAGAGCAGTGTGTCCTGTTTGGGGACAACAGTGATTAGGCTACTTTTACTTGGTCTCATGGTTGGTTAAGACAAGAGCTGTGGAATCAGAACATAGGGCCTCAGAAAATCTTGACTGACAGGCTAAGGAGTTTGGAAGATACTTCTTTGGTATTTAATTGAAGGGCTACTGAAATACAGAGAAATTCTCTAAAAATATTACACTAGCCATGCTAGTGTATCTATATGGTACTTCCTGGATAAAAAGAAGGCAGGAGCATACTGCAAAAGTCTAGCTAGAATATCGCTAGCAGCTGAGTTTTGTAGATGACAACCAAAACCACGAAGTAAAACTAAAAGAGATATTTTCAGGTAGATCCAGAGGGAAGTTGAGGGGGAGAAATATCCCAAACCTTGATTTAAAACAATCAAAGTTAAAAAATAAAAATAAAAATTTTAAGAAAGTTAATATGTATTTGCAATTAATTTCACTGTGATAGCACTTTAAACATGTCAGTAGCTTAAACATGACTTTGGCCTTCTTTGTGTTACCAGCGGTTCCAGGTGTTGGGAATCTAAACGTGTTCAGAACATGCCCCAAACTTTTGAAGACCACAAGTAGGGAGAATTCTATTTACAGAGTTTCACCAACGTTACTTTTGGGGGCCAAATACTCCAGGATGAGGCACCTCTTCATTGAATATGCTCACATTATAAGTTCCCAGATATTTGTTGAATATAGAACTGGCCTGTGCACTTAGCTGCTGGATTCCCACTTCAGGGTACACACGCACTGAAAGGCTTTAAATGTGAACATAGCCGTGTGCCCGCTCAGAAGCTATTCTTAACAAATGCTCAAACCCAGAGTTATTTTGGTAACAATTTTAACGTAAGATGAACACCATGAAAAAGCAAGCTATTATACAAATGATAGTTATTAGTTTACTGTAAAAAATGTACACCTGAACCAAGAACCAATTGGACAACACAGCCCTCCATACCAGAGCTCCAGCCGTAGCATCCAGACCATCAGCATCAGGATAAATGAGACCAGCATAAAATTAAGGACCAGGGAAGGCTTCGTGGGAGAGGGGGCCAGTCTAAAACAATGAGTGAGTCTGGGCTTCTGAACAGGAGTTCTAAAAAGGGGGTTACCGCGGAGCAAAGTCAAGCAGACCTCAACTTGAATGTGAGCTGAGGGAGGCGGGCGCAGAGCTATTCAGATCAGGTGACATCATTTGGTTCTGTCTCTGGGCAAGGCACTTAACACCTCTGGCTCAGCTGCTCCTCTGTTAAAGTAGCATTTCCGGACCCCGAATCAGGGACCTCCACCCCTGCCCTGCGGAGCGCTCGCAGCGGCTCTCACCTGGTAGCACCTGGCGGCCTCCTGCAGCGGCTTGGTGTGGTGGCTCCTGTGCTCAGGGGTGGTGTCACAGATCCAGCACAGCGCCACCTGGTCCTCCTCGCAGAAGCAGCTCAGCTCCTCGCCATGCCGGGGGCAATGGCGCACCCCGGCGAGCCCGGCGCCCAGCCCCAGCTGCCGCACGCTGTCCACCAAGCTGGCCAGTTGCCTGTTGGGCCTGAAGCTGTCCATCCCAAAGGGACCCCGGCATTGCGGACAGGCATACAGGCCACCCTGCGTGCTGTCCGACTTCTCGCAGAACTCGGAGATGCACCTGAGACAGAAGCTGTGGCCACAGTCCACGCTGACCGGGTCCTGCAGGAAATCCAGGCACACAGGGCACCTGGCCTCCTCGCGCAGCCGCTCGCCGGGCGCCTCCGAGGCCATGGCCAGCAGGGCCTCGCCTGGCCCAGCCGATAGCTGCTCTGCCTTCCCCAGCTACCCACGCTATCTCTCCTCGTGGTCTGGCACAGAAGGGAGGAACCCCAGAGCCTCAGGAGAAGCAGGCACAGGACGGGTTTTATCCTCTGGCTCGGCTTCAAGAGTCCAAATGAGCCACTCCCGGTGAAAAGTTACAACTCAGACACCCTAAACCACAAGGATAAAATTAACATTCTCGGAACCCTGGCCTCCCAGGAAACAACATTTCTAACGAAATCTTTCATAGTGCACCTTAACGGAGCCTCTACTCTCTTATTTTCACTGTTACTAAATTTGGAGAATTGCTGAGCTCCTTCCCTCCATAATTTTCTGAATTCCCCTCCCCCCCAGCCCGTGGCCTTCTCCTCTTCATACAGCATGATGATTTCTTAAGATCTTTTTCCAAACTTCAGTTTTTCTACCTCCTGTTAATTAGCTCATGACAAAGAAATGAGTAGATGAGTTGATAAGGAGCTGCCTGAATAGATGAGTGCATAATAATGATAAGTCTGTAGGCAAGCAACAATTCAGAACATTTAAATAAACATCTGGCCCTGTTCCGTGAGGGCCTTAGAATGACTGCATACGTGTTATGATTGTTGTAGAGCGTATCTGGCAGCTGACAAAGCTGTAAGCTAAAACACTTGTTAGATGGAATAATTCAAGCATAGCCCATCAGTGCAGCTGCGCCTTTTGAAATGGGAGAGGCTGAGAGAGACATAGGAGGGAGCAAGGTGATTTGACAGAGAGGATGTGATTCCTTCTCAGGATGAGTATGATGAGGTCACTAGGTCCTCCGGAAGGTAGACAAGTGCCGGGAGAATCTGTCATCAAGCAAAATGTAATTTCCATTTTGCTGAATTTGAGGTGGTGATGGGCATGCCTGTGGCAAAGCGTTCAGTCTGTCCCTTGGCACGTTTGTTAGTAGCTGGAGTCTCAGACACAAGAGTGAGCAAGAGACATAGGACCCAGCTCTCAAGGAGCCTTAAGATCCATCAGGAGAACTCATACAATTACAAACTAACTGGGAGAAAGGGCACTCACCCATGCTGCAAGATTGTAATAGAGGACTCTGAACTAGCCCATGGGGTCAGGGTTGGGCCCTTGGAGGTCTCCCAGCTAACAACTGAAAGGTGAGTACAAGCTGCAAGCAGGAAGATGACATCTAGCAGGTGGGACAGCCAGAGGGCACAGAGAACACAAAATGAATTGTGGCAAGAGGGAGCAGGATGTGCCTCAATGAGTGAGGCTGGCCAGGCAAGCTGGTGTACGGGGCCAGATGAGGACGAGTGGCAGCAGATAAGAAAGGCGAGGACAGATGACTCAGATCCTGGTGGCTCATGTGAGGTTTGTGGGTCCTTATTCTAAGGACAAGGGTTTGGCCTGGAGCTTTGTAGGAAGGCAGGGTCTAAAGGGTTTTGAGGCCATCTGATGAAAGGTTAGGTGGATAATTAAGATGGATTCTTTGAGACGAAACAGAGACAGGTATGAGCAAAACATCAAAGACGTGAAGCTAGAAAAGCAAGCAAAAGGGCAGAGGGCTCCTCAACAGAAAAGGAGACCCTGGCCTCAGGCTGAAGACTGTGCCACTTGCTAGCTAAGGGGCTTTAGATGAGTCTGTGTCACCTTTCTGTGCCAAATTTCCTCTAAAACACAGAGATCTTGTTAGTGCCACTCAAACAGGGCCATTCGGAGGATTACATGAGCTAACAGATATCACATATTTGATACAGGTCCAGGTATGTAGTGAGTGTATTTAATTGAAGAAAAAGAGAAGAAATAGCAAAATGAATGGAAGAATAGTGAGACAGAATGTAAGCTACATTAGGACAAGAAGACTTTCTTTCTATTTTGTTCAATGCTGTATGCCCAGTACCTTGAAGAGTGACTGGCGCATATGGGCATGCAATAAATACTACTTGAATAAATAAGTGAATAAATAAACAGAATCAGTATAGTTTATCCTAGAAGCTAGAAAGGAAAGAATTTCAAAGATGACCATATTATGTCAAATGTGAAATTAATATTTTTCTACATTTTACATATATAATTTTGCTTGTTTATATCACTGCGACTCTCAAAGAAGCTAGAACACATTTTTGTTTTATTTGGAGACACAATAAAGCAATATATTTGCTCAAATGTATGGACAAATTGATAGACAGCTCACCTGAATGTGGATTTCCTAGTATCTAGGAGGTTAAGAGGAGGTTACTGGCTTCTGGTGCAGGGGTTACAGTGTTTTCAGGAAAGTGAGTTGAAGTGGGTGAGCTGACATCAGATGACACTTCTTCCCCGACTGGTTCTGGGATCACTGAGCTTAAGCTCTGTTTTGTCTCCAGCGTTGGTAGGCTAGGAATGAGGTCGGTGCCACCGTTCTTAGAAAACAGATTTTCCTTACAGCCCATCTGTGCAAGTAAGTAGTGGCCTGGGTTATAACTGGATGTTGTTCTATTTACAAAAACTTTGTGAAGTGGCTCCCGGGGCAATTTCTTGTTTAACAGGGGTGGTCTAACTTAAATTTGTATTTTCTCATGATCTTTATTTTGAGGTGAATAAAACACCTCTGTGTTTGTGCTGATAAACCACTTTTTGACGTACCTCCTCCTGATCTTACCCCGACTCCATCGTCTGACTCATTTGCAGGTTGCAAAGTTGCAGATCTTTTAGCTAATCCCCTCGTCCCCCACGACCCTCCTCCTCTAATATTCGTCTCCATATGTGTCTTGTCTTCCCTGACAATATGGGATTCTCCATCCTCTGACCATTCCTCCCCGCTCACCTTCCCTAACTTCTTTGGCATCGTGGCTTTGGGCTCTTGAAGCTGTTTCTTCACGGCATCTATACTTCCTTTCCTAGCCTGAGCCCTTTTTACCAAGGCTCTAGCTCTCTACAGCCACATCCTTTGCCTCAGCTTTGGGGATTCACCATCTCCCATCCCCCAGCTCAGCACACTCCACAATGAAAATAAAAACAGCCAGCACAAAACTCAAAAGCAACAACCACTGACGCAGCACTTTCCTTCCTATCTGTGGTTTTTAAAAGGCTCTCTGTTGGTTCTCATATCAGCAGTTGAACCCTGCATTTTTATTTTTTCTTTTTCCCCAGAGACTATATTGGTGGTTCATTGAGCAAAGGCTGTCTCAAGTTCTCTGTGGGCACAGTCTCAGCTTTCCCTGGCTGGATATGGGGCGCCCACATGCAGCAAACCTCTGTGCTTCCGTGGAAAGGGTTCAGAGAGAAAGCTTGAAGCAGGGAGGACCCGTTGTGACTGTGAGGGAGAACCAACGGTCTCCAAGAGACTGATTGGTCCAGTGGGACCAATGCTGGCCTTTGGCTTCCTTTCCACGCACAAGAGCATGTGCATGTTAACAAAGGTAGATTTATGTAGCAATGTTACATTTTGGGTGATTTACATTAAAGTTTTCCTTTAAGTAATTTGAAAGATTCAAGAACAAGAATGCATCCTGTTCATATTTTTATTCCAAAGTCCCTTCACTCTGGGCCTGCACAGAGTAAGGACGCAGTATAACTTCTAGAATAAATTAAGAAATACAATTTCCCAAGTGAAATTTGCAATCACTCTCTGAAGGAGGAGTTATAAGCCCCATTTGTATATCAGACAAGAGACATTCAAGAGTTGACCAAATGCAGTGAGCAAAAATGAACTTTGCCTTACATTTCAAGGTGTAGTGTTCCATGACGCTCCTGGTGTGATCTGCAGACCAGCACAGGAATCTAATTCTTCCTTCAATAGACCGTTTTAGGAGTCAGGCACCAGACGTCAGACTCAAAATGCAGAGCTAATTAAGAGCCAAGAGCTCACTCCAGCTGCAGGGAAGAACTGGCATGTGGACAAAATAATGGCACAGAGGAAGCACATATTACTGGGTACGCTCACAAGGATGGACAATGGGGACAACCAGAATGAAGATATCGTGTGAGAATGTGCAGAAGAAGGGGTCTGAGAAGGTTCTCAAAAGAACTGCTATTGGAATACAGTGTCCAGGGAGGCCTGGAATTGCCAGTTTGCTTCCGGAGTTCTAGCAGAATTCAGTCAAAGCAGATAGCACGTGCAAAATCCAGCAGGGGACAAAAGAATGCTGTGTCTTGGAACCTCCCGAAGTTTGGTATGGCTCCTGCTCAGACTGTAAGTGGGGAAAGACTAGATAATTATCAATTTTACATGCTATGCAAAAATGTTTAGATTTTTAGTGGCAGGTAATGGGTACCAATGACAGATTTTCAATGATCTTCACTGGATGTGATTTCCAGGCCCTGCTGTTGTCTTTCCCGGTGGTTTGGGTATTGAAGCCCTATGGGTCACTGGTAGTAGAGGCTTTGGCCATCCTTAGGGATGCTGTAATCTGACTGGGGGAATGGGAGGAAATGGAACAGCAAAGTTGTGGGGTTTTCTGCCAACTTCTAAAGGCAGCCCAAACTTAACTGCTTTTGCATAGATCCCATTGTTCTCTCTGATAAATAGAAAAAGAAAACATTCTAGGCCTCTCTGGCCACTCGTCCAAGCAAAGCCTATGAAGGGTTCTCCAATGAGTTTGCGGTGATATCTCAACTTCCTGTTCTGTCTCTATTGTATGTATAATACATGGGAGAAAGGCACAGAGGCATTTCTCCATGTATATAGACTTTCACGCATCCACAATGAATGGTCTAGTATGGAATCCAGTGTTTCATATCGTGCTATTGTTATAAATCAGTTTGATAGGAAATATGGATTGGCACTCAGTGCTAATATGCATACCCATGCTAAGAATGTCTGTGAATTCAAGGGTCTCCTACAAACACACCACTACAGCATGAGGTAAAAAACATGTCATAAGAGAGGATTTTTTTCTGCCTTCTATAAGACTTACAGGATGGGCAGGCACATATTTATTATACTGATTGGTGGCAGGGTAGGAGGGAAATCAGTAACAATTCATGATGATATTTGAAGAGGGTTTCCTCGGAGAGCAAACAGCAGGAGGCAAAGCACTCCATAAAAAAATTTACAAAGGTTAGTCTTATTTTCTTTGTAGAAATGAATGCATTTTTAAAGTTTTAAGTAAAGAAGGTATATGATAAGAACTTGGCCCTCTGTAAGTAAAATTTCAAAAAAATTTTTTAAAAAGGTAAGGTAAAACTCGTTTGAAAAGAGATCTCCCTACATGAACAGGGTGGTATCAGTCTCAGCTGCTACACCCAACACTCTCCCCAGCCTTGCTGAGCTGGGCCCTCCTTGCCCGCATCATCACTTCTGTGGGGGGAATTCTCTTCAGGGCAGGTGTTAGATCTCTTCCTCATTTGTCTCTCTTGCTAGCTGCTGAATCACCAGCAGGATCAGAAACCTGACATCACTCATAAAAACATTTGCTCATTGCTTTTGATGCCCCTTTGAGCTTGATTCCACTACCATAGCAACTGCAATTCCCAGAATTGCCCTGAAGACAGGGCACTGTGGTGGAAGACAAATGGATTTGAAGCAGAAATCAAACACCTGTTTGAACTTCATTCAAACACCAGTTTGATATGAAATATGGCGACTTCCTCTCCATTAAATCTTATAGAAAGCAGAAAAAAATCCTCTTTTATGACTTTCTTTTTTCTCATGCTGTAGTGGTGTGTTGGTAGAAGAGCCTTGAATTCACAGACACTCTTAGCATGGGAATCCATATTAGCACTGAGTGCCAATGCATATTTCCTATCAAACTGATAGGTTATTTATACCATATATACTCCTTATGTGACCTTGGTGAATTTTGTAAGCCTCTCTGCCTATGTTCTCATGGGTAAAATGGATCCTTTTATAAGGCTTATATAGGATATTGTGCATGGAGAGTCTGGCAACTAATTTGTATTCAACAAATGCTTGCCCAAACCCCTCACTCCTCAATCACATAATGCCCCTGAGAGAAAGGGTGTCAATCTTTGTTCAGTTGTGTGCAGGGGCTAATTGTTCTGAAGTTTCCTTATCTCCATTGTGTACTCCACATACAGATGTTCAGAAATGAAGATTTTCTTCCTAATTATATATCAGGATGCTTATTAAGGTAATAACAAATTATCTGCTAATTTCAAGATGCAGGTGTTTTGAAAAAATAATCAGTGATTCCTGGATTGGTTATTTATTTTCTGTGGCTGGTTGTTTCAGTTACTTCACAAGCTTTAGTCAGTTACTTGATTGTAGACAGCAGTTTTAAATTATAAAGAACCATCTTGCTCAAGTTTGCCCTTGGATATCAAGGAATTCTAAAATTACAATATCATCAATCACTCATGCCTTATACTCATAATGGCCCCACCACATCATATAAATACATAGAAAATGCAGCAAGCAATGGGATGTAATGTTTAAATAGTCCTCATTCTTACTTTATAAGAAAATTAAAATAAAGATAAAATATTTGAAAATTACCAGAAATCAGTTAGATTGCTGAAATTAGAATTCTGCCTCTATGCATCGTATATCAAGTCTCCACCAGTGATAAGCAATGATAAGGCATTAGAATGGGTTTTGAGAGAGATGATGACTCGTCTTTGAAAATAAAACCCTATGATTAACGCATCCTGGAAAATCCCCTTCTCGCTGTCCCTCTACAGAAGTAATATCTATGCTGACAGAGTTGAATTTAGATTTTGTCAAAAAACTATGCCCCTAAGTTAATTCAAAGTAACTTCTGTCTATGAAATCATAGACTTAAATTTTTTAAAATACTTGGATGTCTATCCTATCTATAGAATAATTATTTCCTTATTTAATACCTAACAAAGTGATCATTTTCCTTGTGTTTGAACAACATAAAAAATGAGTTTTAGAATTTCCTTCTTTTCATTGAACCAAAATATCTTCTCCTAAAAACGCTGCCTATTAATGGCATTTCTACTTTTACGGTGAAATAGAGCAATTTTAATTTCTCTTGTGAAATTATTTAATACCTCCTGTATAATCGTCCATATTTGTCTTCTCCAAATCCAGTGAAATACCTCCACTTCTTTTTCATTACTTTTCTCTTGGCATGATTCTAAAACCTCACAACATTCTCCACTGAGCATGCGCCACGTTATCTAGGAGCTTCTCAAGCACAGCCCTCAAAAGCAAAGGCAGTATGCTGTAGGAAGGCTGCAGATAAAGTAGTCTGTTCCCATACTTACTGTGTGAGACTTCTATCAGTTTAAATACACTTCCTTCCCCTTCATTATTTTGTAAACAAGTATATTTGGTAAGGCAGTGCTCTACCACTCTCTGCCTAGAGAAGCAAGAAAAAGCTGTGTATACAAAGATGGCCTCTATGGTGTCACAGTTACCTTGAGCTGGGTGACCTTGAGTGAATCACTTACTTTCTAGGCTTCGATTTTCACTTTTGTAGATTGACGCTCAACATGTAGAGCTATTCTGAAGGTGAAATAAAGGAATGCATGTAAAACACAAAGCATGTGATTCCAACTAAATAAATGTTCAAGAATTCAGGGCTATCTTATTATAATAAAACCACCATTACTTTGCACTTACAATGAAGTTAAATTGTTATTACAATGAAATACTATCACTTCTCTTTAATTGAAATGACTTTTAGTAATATTTTGTTAGACTTAAAGTTACTGGTAAACATCTAGATTTTTCAAATAACCCATAAAATCATAATGATAAATAATAAAGGAACTTAGAATTTCTCTGTGCACCGGTAAATGAATTAATCATATGCCTCTGAAAAAAACTTAAAAGCCAACTCTACTGGGAAATACAAAAGAGAAATTTAAAAATATTATTTCTAGATGAAAATTTGAATATTTAAAAATATCTGTAAATTTGGTTTGATATGATACACATAAATGGATGTTTATTTTTTATGCATCAGCATAATTCTTAATTAATATGCAATAAACTATACTAAAAATAAGTTTATAATGCTTGAAATGAAAAATCAATAACAGGATTCTTGCTGAACTATAAAATAAAATACTCAGCAAATGCCCTAACTGAACATTCCTTAGGATATATTGTATATTGCATTATTAGAAGCCAGGGTGCTCGTGGGAAATAAAGGCTACTGGAAAAAATACCCAAGTGAAGGTATCCATTTGTAGGTTTCTAAGAGTCTGTATTATTAACACTGTTTGAAACTTACAAATGTATACCATGGCTTGTAATTTACATATTTGATGATATATGTTTTTAATCATCATTAGGCAGCTCACTCTTAGAGGCAATATTTATCCACCTTTCCTATAATATCTTCTTGCCACAGAGAAGAGACACCCATCCCTGTCACCACATGAATGAGTATTAGAGGAAAGCTTCCTGGCGCGCCCTAGTGACCATAGCTTGCTCTTGCTGGGTTGCTTAGCTGACTTGTGAAGCTTGATGCTTTCTGGTTGTGGCTATGTATATTGTTCATGCTCCCTGTGCTCTCTTGCTGGCTCTTCCTCATGTGTAGGCAGTGATGGTCTTGGTAGCCTGGGCACCCTCTCATCTCTATGTATCCAGCTGTGGCTGATGTGTACAGATTTTCCGTTATTTCTGAAGCCGTCAGAGAATGTGGATGCATAATCTGCTTTGCAGGCCTTATCATGCCTCTTGTTTTCTTTCTGAAAACAAGCAGGAATTACAAGATCTAGATTTCAGATCAAAGATGAAGAGCCCACTCCAAACTATGGACTATTACACAGTCCATAAACAGTGTTTAATTATTTTTTTCAAAATTTAATAGGATGAGAAAAGATCTATGATGGAATTAGCTGTAAAAATAACTGCTAAAAAAAGCTAAGATTCAGGCTATGTAAAATGAGCTGCAAAAAAAAAAAAGGAGTTATAGGCTATCCAGTATTAATCCAATTACACTACCCCATACGTGGGACACACAAAAAAAGTTTGTAAGGCAAGATATCAGGTGTCAAACTCTGAGAGACAGTACTGTAGTTCCCACCCCCAAGTAACTTGGATATCCTTTTTTCAGTTTCTTTTTGCTGAGGAAGATTTGCCTTGAACTAACATCTGTTGCTAATCTTCCTCTATTTTGTTTGTGGGTCACTGCCACAGCATGGCCGCCAACAAGCAGTATAGGTCTGCCCTGGGAACGAACCCAGGCCACTGAATCAGAGCACACTGAACTTAACCACTAGGCCAATGGGTTGGCCCCTCTATAGCCACTTATTTTCTATAAGCACTATGGCTTCTGATAGTACAAAATGCAATGTACCCCAAGGAACACTCAATTATGGCTATTTACTGTGTATATTATGTCATCGTGGTTTCTCACTTAAAACACTACAAACTAATTTTTGACTATACTTTATTGCATGTTAATTAAGAATTACATTGGTGAATTAAAAGTAAACATCCAGAGTGACGTTGGTGACATGGTGGGGTGAGCTCACCCGGGACTCTCTCCCCTCCAGACTACAACCAAGAGGAACAACTGAATTCCAACCAAAAATTCCTAGTGGCACAGAGATCGTCGGAGACCCACAGCAGCCAGATGATGGAGGGCGGAGAGGCTGGAGCCGCCCTTGGAGGAGCTGGAAGGGGATAAGAGAGAGCTTTGCTCCCTCCCCTAGAGACTGGGATCGCTGCCATGGTTGAGGGAAGGAGTGGGTGAGGGGCCGCATGTCCACAGGATTGTCCAGGACTCCCACCACCTGTGCAGTGGAAACCCTCTAATGGGGGAAAGCTTTCACGTGGGGGGACCCCATCAAGCCAGGGCCCTGGGAAACCAGAGAGCGAGTGCTGAACAGAATCTGGGTCTGCGCACGAGAGAAAGTGTCCCTCCTTCCCCAACCTGCTCTGCATGCCGCCATAGCAACTGAAGGCCACGGGCTCAGAAAACGAAGCTCTCAACCCCCATCTAGTGGAGACAGGCTGTACCTGCAATTGAATAATAGCATCATGTGCAAAAACCACTCCTCTACCATCCAGCAATTTATAAAAGCTCCAGACCAAAAGGAAGACAATAAAAACACAGAATTATGTCCTGAGGACTTGGAAATAGGTAAACTAAGTGAAAATGAATTCAGAATAGCTATCATCAAAAAACTCAATGAGGTAAAGGGAAATATAGAGAAACAAGTCATTGAGTTCTGGAGTTACTTCACAAAAGAGATTGAAAATATAAAGAAGAATCAATCAGAAATACTAGAGATGAAAAATACAATGGATCAAATAAAACAGAATACGGATTCCCTGAATGCCTGTGTAGACACCATAGAGGAGCAAATTAGCATAATCGAAGATAGACAGGCTGAATGGCTCCAGACAGAGGAAGAAAGAGAACTAAGAATTAAAAAAACTGAAGAAAATTTCAGAGAACAGCTGACTCAATGAGAAAATGCAACTTAAGAATCATCAGAATTCCTGAGGGCGTGGGAAAGGAAAATGGACCAGAAAGTGTGCTCAACGAAATAATAGAAGAGAACTTCCAAAATCTAGGGATTGAGGGAGAAATGTGTGTGGAGGAAGCTTTCAGATCTCCTAGATTTGTCAAGGTAAAAAGACCTACGGCAAAGCATATAGTAGTAAAAATGGCAAAAATGAATGACAAAGAAAGAATACTCAGGGCAGCAAGGCAGAAGAAAACAA